GATAAAGAAGAAATGACGCTAAAAATTGACGATTTACCCATCGAAATTATAGCTCACATTTTTACATTTTTGTCTGCTAAAGATTTAAATGTTGTATCTTCGGTTTGTCGACGTTTTTACGAAGCAACTTTATTGGAATCAATTTGGATAATTAGATGTCGTAAAGGTGTGTTTACCATCTTTTTTTTTATTTTTTATTTTGTTTTTAAAAGTTCTCAAAATTTAATTTTGTTGTTGTTAAATGAAATTTTAGAAAGTATTCACGTGACAAATGCAACTTTATCAACCCGTGTTTATATTTACAATGACGAAGATATTACGTGTTGATGTTAATTTACGCATTATAAAGTGTCAGATTTACATTTAATCGTTGTGAATAATACACTTTAATTGGCTGCAATTTGAAAAAATTGTAGACCTATAAATTTCCTGTCTGTCTGTCTGTCTGTCCTTCCTTAATCTCAAGAATGGTGTAAGGGTGTCGCACCCTTACACCTTTCTTGAGATTATATGCAGATGCAAATTTAGAGTAAGCGAGAGGTTGCAAGCGATATAGTTCTTGCAAAGGAAAACCGTGCAGAAGCGAGAAATATCGCTGGCAAGAACAAATTTCTGGTTCTCACAGGTATCTGATGGGGGTTGATATTTATCTCGTCTTGCTTACTCACGTCTGCATAGTCACACCCCAAGATAAGGTGGTCCTCTACTTTTGTTAAATTTGCTATTTCGCACACATTTTGTACTTCGATTTTTATCGATATATATGATGCACATATTTTTGTATAATGATTCTCCCCTTCTTGTGAACTATTAGCCACTAGTCCCTTCCTACCTCTCCGACATTATTAGGCATCACTGGTTCAATCTCGAGCAGGGATGTCTTGAGTTAGCGCTTGTGTTAACGAGTTGTGTCTTGTCGGTTTGTTAGGACGTGTGCTATCACTTTAGGTACTGTACATTTCTGTTTTGGTAAAAAAATTTGTCCTTATTAATTCATAAACATGAGTGAAAAATGAAAAAACAGTAGTGTTGGTATGGGACAAAAAAAATCCAGGTCTCTTAACATCCATATGATCAAAAGTGTATATCTACAAAGGACAATAGAAAAAGACACTGCATGTTACAGAACTATATCAAAAAAAGAAAAAAGAATATAATTAATTATCTCTTGACAAATTTATAAAGAAAACAACAATACAGGTATACCTTGCCTTACGTCGGTAATTGGTTCCAGGAGAGGTGTTCTCGACTTAAGTCACTTAAGTTGAGAAACGATGTAAGTCGAATTTACTTGTCACTAGGTTAAACCACAAATACCATTCTTAGTTCTGTATTTTATTTATAAATGCATTTTTAATAATATTTATATATGATTAATAAGAATCTATTTTAAGCTTACAAAGAAATAAATTTTAGTTTTTAATATAGTACAGGAAAAAACTAATCTAAATTTTTGAATGTATGTATGGTACGTACATACTTGTAAATATACATGTTTACAATTTGGCAATGTTTACAGTACATCATGGATGCTATATTTGTGAATGTGGTTTTTTCTAAGACATTATAAAATAATATGATTTTGTAAGGTTAAATAACAAATATAGTTATTAAAATTATTTTGCGATAGTAAAAAATAAACTAATTTATGTTAAATTTACCAATAAAAGTGGCATTGACAACAATGCCAAACCAAACAAATATATTGAAACTACCGTGGAAAATGCCAATATTGAGCTCTTAAAGACCACTAAATAAGATGACAACACAGAGTTACGATGTTTTCATATTTCGTTCTCTACAATTTATGATGATTATATTAACATTTACTGTAAATGTATGTATTTTAATATGATTTTATGTGTTTTTAACACTTTTTCTAGTAATATTACAATTTCAATATTTGTGGTGGACAGAGATAAAATCGAATAAAATTATTTAAACTTAATTTTTACTTTTCCATATATTTTTTTTGACAAACGACGTATAATCGAGAACGACGTAACTTGAGGTATACCTGTACTAATCAATAAAAAATAAATATTTTGAAAACCCTTTTTTTTTTTATGCTTTTTAAATTGCTCTACTTTCATAAACATTTCAGGAACCAATTAGGTACAAAAGTGGAGGACCACCTGATCAAAGTCAAGACCAGATATGAAATCTGGACCTCATGCCTCTAAGCTTTAACTATGTATGAACTTGCAGCCTGGCATTGTGACAATGTCACAATAAATAATTGCTTGTTTTCAATACATTATATCTAAACTAAAATTAGTGTTAATAAACAAGTTAATGCACACTATTTTGATTTTATCATGCTGTTGGCTTTGTAGAAGTTATCATTTTAACATAGACAATAAGTTTTATTCTTTAAATTTGATAAAATAAACTGTTTGACTTTCAGTTTTAATCTTTTTCTTATGAGTAATTATCTGTTGTTTTTAAAAATTCTATTGATTAATAGTCCATATCATTTATGTACAATTACACCTCAGAGCTGTAGGCTGTACACATAAGTGAAAGTCAGAAATTCCTCATTCAGGGTTCACATTTTATCATAATTTATATGTAACAAGTATTAGTTATTCCAAATCTTAGAGTATCCTATTGAAAGTTTTACTAATTTTTATTAATTCAAGTATAAAACAATTATATTTGGAATATTAAAATGTCATCCATTTAAATGGAAAATGACCAGCTTTGATCATCTGGTGAAAGACTTTATTAGAAAATTACATGGTTAACAATTTTCAGATATCTTTTTATGTATTTGAGTTCATAAATATTTTAATTTTGAAACGAATGGAAATTAAATGATCTGTATGAAATATTATTGCTGTTTCAATATAGTGATTGGAAACTAGCCTATCTGAATTAAAATGAATCAGTTGCATTGCATGTAGAGTTGAAAGAGATGTAAAATTAATTTTGGCATCTCATTATTTCTTTCTTTTCTATTTAATTTTAGAATTATTTACAAGATGGTTTTGTCATAAAGCATATTTATTTTGAGAGATTAAAGTTATTGAACGAATTTTTAACTTTTATTTTGCATTTAATTTTTAGAATGTTTAGAAAAGTTGACCAGATGTTTAAATGTTATGTGATCCTGTTTGAAGCAAATTTGACCTACTTTATATCATTTTTATTTATTCTCTTAATGGGTCTTTCTATATTTTCTTAATATTAATCTTCTATTTTAAAATTATTTTTATTTGCAGTATTTTAAGTGAAGTATTTAATTACTTTACACATTTTAATTAGTTGTCACAAATATATTTGTATATTGCATTAATTAAATTAAATACATAGAATATCAATTTTGTTTAACTTATCTGAACAATAAGTGAATGTAAAAAGATGAATTGTTTATATAATGAAAGTTAACTGTTTATATTTTATATATACAAATAATTATCATCTATGCTTATTATAAATAATGATTGAAAATAAATCATACAAATGAAATGTTGGCTTTTATAGTAATTTTTTTAATGAAGTATGAGATGCTTTTAATATTACAAATTTTTCAGTGTTTTACTGGATTGGTTTATGTATTAAATCTTTATGTTGTAAAAATTAATAGAAATTATTTTCCTGTATATAATCTAGACATATTATATACAGAAAAATAATCTTACTGTTGTTGCAAAATTTGATACAATTATGTTTTGGTTTGAAATTAAAAGCATTTTCAGACTTAAACAAAGTCTTCTGTTCAATTTGTTCTGTTGTTTAATTGAAAAAAAATTATTTTTTTGAAGTATTTATTTTTTAGCATAACTTGTATATTTTTTTATTTTTAAATTATTCTACCAAATTAAATAATTGTGGAAAGTGAAGTATTGGTAAAGTTTGATTATCATGTGTTGAAAAGTCATAATAAAAATTCTATGGATTATTTTTTTTTATCTTAAAAATAATTCCTTTTTAATAAATAATCTTCATAAAATTTAAAAAATATATATAAAACAGTTGTAAAAAATAAATGCAATTTGACTCTCATCAAAAAAAATTTTTAATACAAATACATAATCATTTATATTGAAAAATATTTGTGTTTATATAGTTGGTTCTTATCAATAACAAATTAAATGTTTAAAACAACTTGAAAAATAAATTACTGTTATTATTGCCATTAAAATTAAATACTTTTTATTAAAAATTGTCAATTGTAATTGCATTAGTTTATATAATTCATTTCCCACTTAGCAACTAATCTGCATAATTAAGGAAACATTAAAATAGGAAATGTTAAAGTAGCAATTGTGAGGTATAGATGAACTTTTTGAATATTTAAATTTTTTGAAATCCTATTGGAATTTAATATAGAGTTAATCTTTAGAGTTAAAGAATAAAATTTAATGTCATCAGGATTTGTGAATTACAATTATTCAGCAAGATATTCTTTACATTGAGTTTTAATTATAATAAATGCTTTAAGGTTTATGTAACANAATTAGTTTTTTTCAATGATAATACATATTTTTTTAAAAATTGAAATAATTACCATATTTTATAGTATATAAGATGCACCCCCTATTTCAGCATAGAATATTTAGGAAAAAGTATTTAGTGTGTTTAATTTATGCCACCTTGTACCTTTAGCATTCAACCTCAATTTTTTTTATGCATTCTGGTTAAAAAAAAAGTAAAATTAGAATGCCACAATTTCATTTATTAGATAGTTTAAAATAAGTCATTTACAATTAAAATATTCTACATGAATACATAAAAAAAGCTACTTAGCTATACAACAAATACAAATAATATGTTGAATTAAACAACAATGTTTTTATTCAAGAGTTGGACTAGTTAGTGATTACCTGTAACTTGCTGAAAGACATTTGGAAATTTATTAGCCTATGGGAGATTATAACTTTATATACATATAAGGCATAGAGCATTTTTCATCCCTTTTTTGGACAAAAGTTTTTCTTATAAGCCATAAAATATGGTAAACACATAATAATAATTTTTAAAAATTTATTATTAACCTTGAAGCAATGCCCAAGCTATATCCTTCACTTTTTAATTTCTCTAAAATATCTGGAACATCATTGTAATATTTAATCTTCTTTCCTGAGCCATCGTAAACAAATCCATCACTAAAAATAATTTATATATTATTAAACATAATGCAATACTCTTTCATTGTAAAGTTTATATTATAAATATTAATACCCTTTTTTAATCATTGGTGGAGTTACATGAGTATCAATCCAAAATGGCCATAATGTATAATCTGTAAAAATATTTATAATTATTATAAAATAATATAGTAATATGTAATATGTGTACTTCTTATTTTTAATTCACTTTTCATTACGGACATCTACTTAAAATTAGAATTTTTAAATATTTAATTAATTCATTCAATTAGTTGCTATGCAGTTTCAATTAAATGTTACATGTTAGCTCAATTCCAAAAACAAAAAAAGAAAAAAAGATATAAATAACTTAGTGAGGTCATAGACCTAGTGATATATGTACTTAGTGTAACTTGTAAACACACGTATTCCTGTCTGATAACATATTCTTGAACTGATAATTGGCAATACATATACTGTATTCACCATCACATTTTAAAGTTTTATTTTTATGGATTTATGTTTGTTCTATTATACTGGATTTCATTTATAAGATCAACTGATAAAATTATTAAGTTTTGATTATTGTTGTTTTGCAATTAAAAAAAAGGTTAAATATTAAGTAAGTATATATAGATATAGTATTTAAAAAAATTAAATTAAAATAATATAATTATTTATTTTTTGTTTTATGTATTGTACATTTATCTGGATTGTTTCCTATATACAGGAATTTTGCAATGATCTTATCATATCAATTATCCAATGATTTGAAATGATGACACAGGTGAAATACAAATAAATGTAATTGTCAACCAGAAAAGGTATTATATCTAGATCTTGAAATGAAAAAAGATACCTTCAAGGACAACTAAAGAAGCTGCCCTGTAGTTAAACAGTCAAGGTTGCATTATTATCCTGTTCACTTTTCCAACAATGGAACTGTCATTTCTTTGGGTAAGCAATGATTCATTTAGATAAAATTAATTAAAAAATAACTTGTAAAAGTATCTAGCTAAATTGATTATTTTTCATATACTTTTCTACTAACATCTATTTATCTATACAAAATATTACTGTAATAAAAACAGTAAGTTAAAACACATATGGATGTTTACTTACATTTAAAACCCTATTTAAAAAATGAAAGTTTCCAATATAAAACTTCCTTTGCATTATTAATTAATTCAAATAAAAATAATGTATTATAATAANAATATTATAATAATAAAATTTAAAAACTAATTTACTTATTCATACACCTACTTATTTTTAGAGATGATAAAACAATTATATCAAACAAAAAAAATTTATCATCAAAACTTTACAAAATGCTGAGTGTTGTTAAATATTTTTGTAAAATATATATAAATTTTTCAAATAATTCATTGTATGCTTATTAAAGTTCCATTATAATAGAATAATAAACACATATGGAACAATAAATGAATAAATATCACTATTTAATTATCAACATCACATGAAAATATCATAATATATTATTACATAACTAAAATCAGTTATTAGATAAATTTTAAATTCTCAAATATAACAGCTATTTTAAAATAATATTCATCAGAAAAGATATATACCAATATAATTTTATTTACAATCTATTAATTTTTTTTCTACTTTAGTTAAAAATTAAGCACATCTACTGTTCGATCTTATTTAATACCTGCTTTTAAATTCTTACTTAGCAATAGTTAAAAATGTGTTTGAATATAGAAACTTATTCTACAGTATCTAATTCATTTTTGTATTGAAAGTCAATCTTAACCTTTCCATCATGATATGCTTTTCTGTCTTCTGTCTGAGTTTTTAGACAATATTTTTTTCCTGTATTTATATATTTAATATAAGATAAAAATACAAAATAAACAGTAATATAAAATGCTTCTTGTCTGGATAACTATGTTAAATTTTCAATTGACTATTAATATGTCTACGTACGGTACGTATAATATTGTACCCAACCGAAGAGGGATGAATGTATACATTCAAAACACGTATCAGAGTCAATAAAATTGAAACGATAAAAAAGTCATTTGTGGTCATTACGATGAGTTTGATTTTGAGGCATATTAATAGCCAATTGAAAATTTAATAATATAAACACTTCGTAAAAAGAAAAGTGATCTTTTTGACGGACGAAAAGCACATTTCAGAATGTAGCCTTAATCTGGGTATATTACAGAAGTACTGTACAATACATGTTGCACATACTGTAGATTATTAAAAAGTTTGGAAATCACTTAATAGAATCAGAAACAAGATTAATAAAGTATATGTTAGAATAATACATTTTTAAACTTATAATTCTTATCAAATTACAATCCTTATTTCAACTTTTAAAAAATTGTTGAAAACATTAAAAAGTATTGACCAGAAATAATAATATTTCTAGAAAAATTCAAAATATGAGAAATCAGAAAAAAATTATATATGATATTTAAACATAAAAACGACTTTTAATTCTTATAATCAGTTTTGCTCATTTAAGAAAAAAAATATATTAAAACGAAATAACTTTATGCACATTTTTATTAAATACAGTAATTTAATTTACAAAAATAAAATTCAGTTTTAAATAGTTTTAATATTTTCGATGAAATGAGTTTCTTTTTTTTTCTTATTGTTTTTTAATTAAATAATAACCGATTAAAATAATAAGTTGCGTTAATGTAGTCTTTTGCGTACATAACACACAGATTAAGTCTTGGAATGAAATACATTTTCTACGTAAGTGCACGAGAAATAAAACAAGCAAATCCCGATCGACGGGATAAAACTATGATAACCGAGCCATCCTCCCATCATGATTTTACGTTAATTTAACCGGTAACAAATTATCGCTATATTAAAAAAGTTTTAATTTCCTTATTTATTTTCTAATATTAAACAAATTAACTTGTAAATTAATTCAAAAAAGTCGCGAGCTGCTAAGATTATTGTAAAAATTAGGCTTAACCTAACCCTAACGGTTTATTTTTAAAAAATAATATTTTTAATCACTTAAAAAAAACTCGCGTTAATTTTAATCGACTATTAATTTATTATTATTAATTTTGGTTATTTAAGAATAAAATGAATATATTTGGGACGTCAAAACGTCACCTGCCTAAATCGAAAACGATGAGTTTTGGTCGTCTGGTTCGAGAGACGTCGTCGGCCATGCTAACAATTACCCTGTCTATAGTCAATGTTGTTCTAGGAAAAGATAAAGAAGAAATGACGCTAAAAATTGACGATTTACCCATCGAAATTATAGCTCACATTTTTACATTTTTGTCTGCTAAAGATTTAAATGTTGTATCTTCGGTTTGTCGACGTTTTTACGAAGCAACTTTATTGGAATCAATTTGGATAATTAGATGTCGTAAAGGTGTGTTTACCATCTTTTTTTTTATTTTTTATTTTGTTTTTAAAAGTTCTCAAAATTTAATTTTGTTGTTGTTAAATGAAATTTTAGAAAGTATTCACGTGACAAATGCAACTTTATCAACCCGTGTTTATATTTACAATGACGAAGATATTACGTGTTGATGTTAATTTACGCATTATAAAGTGTCAGATTTACATTTAATCGTTGTGAATAATACACTTTAATTGGCTGCAATTTGAAAAAATTGTAGACCTATAAATTTCCTGTCTGTCTGTCTGTCTGTCCTTCCTTAATCTCAAGAATGGTGTAAGGGTGTCGCACCCTTACACCTTTCTTGAGATTATATGCAGATGCAAATTTAGAGTAAGCGAGAGGTTGCAAGCGATATAGTTCTTGCAAAGGAAAACCGTGCAGAAGCGAGAAATATCGCTGGCAAGAACAAATTTCTGGTTCTCACAGGTATCTGATGGGGGTTGATATTTATCTCGTCTTGCTTACTCACGTCTGCATAGTCACACCCCAAGATAAGGTGGTCCTCTACTTTTGTTAAATTTGCTATTTCGCACACATTTTGTACTTCGATTTTTATCGATATATATGATGCACATATTTTTGTATAATGATTCTCCCCTTCTTGTGAACTATTAGCCACTAGTCCCTTCCTACCTCTCCGACATTATTAGGCATCACTGGTTCAATCTCGAGCAGGGATGTCTTGAGTTAGCGCTTGTGTTAACGAGTTGTGTCTTGTCGGTTTGTTAGGACGTGTGCTATCACTTTAGGTACTGTACATTTCTGTTTTGGTAAAAAAATTTGTCCTTATTAATTCATAAACATGAGTGAAAAATGAAAAAACAGTAGTGTTGGTATGGGACAAAAAAAATCCAGGTCTCTTAACATCCATATGATCAAAAGTGTATATCTACAAAGGACAATAGAAAAAGACACTGCATGTTACAGAACTATATCAAAAAAAGAAAAAAGAATATAATTAATTATCTCTTGACAAATTTATAAAGAAAACAACAATACAGGTATACCTTGCCTTACGTCGGTAATTGGTTCCAGGAGAGGTGTTCTCGACTTAAGTCACTTAAGTTGAGAAACGATGTAAGTCGAATTTACTTGTCACTAGGTTAAACCACAAATACCATTCTTAGTTCTGTATTTTATTTATAAATGCATTTTTAATAATATTTATATATGATTAATAAGAATCTATTTTAAGCTTACAAAGAAATAAATTTTAGTTTTTAATATAGTACAGGAAAAAACTAATCTAAATTTTTGAATGTATGTATGGTACGTACATACTTGTAAATATACATGTTTACAATTTGGCAATGTTTACAGTACATCATGGATGCTATATTTGTGAATGTGGTTTTTTCTAAGACATTATAAAATAATATGATTTTGTAAGGTTAAATAACAAATATAGTTATTAAAATTATTTTGCGATAGTAAAAAATAAACTAATTTATGTTAAATTTACCAATAAAAGTGGCATTGACAACAATGCCAAACCAAACAAATATATTGAAACTACCGTGGAAAATGCCAATATTGAGCTCTTAAAGACCACTAAATAAGATGACAACACAGAGTTACGATGTTTTCATATTTCGTTCTCTACAATTTATGATGATTATATTAACATTTACTGTAAATGTATGTATTTTAATATGATTTTATGTGTTTTTAACACTTTTTCTAGTAATATTACAATTTCAATATTTGTGGTGGACAGAGATAAAATCGAATAAAATTATTTAAACTTAATTTTTACTTTTCCATATATTTTTTTTGACAAACGACGTATAATCGAGAACGACGTAACTTGAGGTATACCTGTACTAATCAATAAAAAATAAATATTTTGAAAACCCTTTTTTTTTTTATGCTTTTTAAATTGCTCTACTTTCATAAACATTTCAGGAACCAATTAGGTACAAAAGTGGAGGACCACCTGATCAAAGTCAAGACCAGATATGAAATCTGGACCTCATGCCTCTAAGCTTTAACTATGTATGAACTTGCAGCCTGGCATTGTGACAATGTCACAATAAATAATTGCTTGTTTTCAATACATTATATCTAAACTAAAATTAGTGTTAATAAACAAGTTAATGCACACTATTTTGATTTTATCATGCTGTTGGCTTTGTAGAAGTTATCATTTTAACATAGACAATAAGTTTTATTCTTTAAATTTGATAAAATAAACTGTTTGACTTTCAGTTTTAATCTTTTTCTTATGAGTAATTATCTGTTGTTTTTAAAAATTCTATTGATTAATAGTCCATATCATTTATGTACAATTACACCTCAGAGCTGTAGGCTGTACACATAAGTGAAAGTCAGAAATTCCTCATTCAGGGTTCACATTTTATCATAATTTATATGTAACAAGTATTAGTTATTCCAAATCTTAGAGTATCCTATTGAAAGTTTTACTAATTTTTATTAATTCAAGTATAAAACAATTATATTTGGAATATTAAAATGTCATCCATTTAAATGGAAAATGACCAGCTTTGATCATCTGGTGAAAGACTTTATTAGAAAATTACATGGTTAACAATTTTCAGATATCTTTTTATGTATTTGAGTTCATAAATATTTTAATTTTGAAACGAATGGAAATTAAATGATCTGTATGAAATATTATTGCTGTTTCAATATAGTGATTGGAAACTAGCCTATCTGAATTAAAATGAATCAGTTGCATTGCATGTAGAGTTGAAAGAGATGTAAAATTAATTTTGGCATCTCATTATTTCTTTCTTTTCTATTTAATTTTAGAATTATTTACAAGATGGTTTTGTCATAAAGCATATTTATTTTGAGAGATTAAAGTTATTGAACGAATTTTTAACTTTTATTTTGCATTTAATTTTTAGAATGTTTAGAAAAGTTGACCAGATGTTTAAATGTTATGTGATCCTGTTTGAAGCAAATTTGACCTACTTTATATCATTTTTATTTATTCTCTTAATGGGTCTTTCTATATTTTCTTAATATTAATCTTCTATTTTAAAATTATTTTTATTTGCAGTATTTTAAGTGAAGTATTTAATTACTTTACACATTTTAATTAGTTGTCACAAATATATTTGTATATTGCATTAATTAAATTAAATACATAGAATATCAATTTTGTTTAACTTATCTGAACAATAAGTGAATGTAAAAAGATGAATTGTTTATATAATGAAAGTTAACTGTTTATATTTTATATATACAAATAATTATCATCTATGCTTATTATAAATAATGATTGAAAATAAATCATACAAATGAAATGTTGGCTTTTATAGTAATTTTTTTAATGAAGTATGAGATGCTTTTAATATTACAAATTTTTCAGTGTTTTACTGGATTGGTTTATGTATTAAATCTTTATGTTGTAAAAATTAATAGAAATTATTTTCCTGTATATAATCTAGACATATTATATACAGAAAAATAATCTTACTGTTGTTGCAAAATTTGATACAATTATGTTTTGGTTTGAAATTAAAAACATTTTCAGACTTAAACAAAGTCTTCTGTTCAATTTGTTCTGTTGTTTAATTGAAAAAAAATTATTTTTTTGAAGTATTTATTTTTTAGCATAACTTGTATATTTTTTTATTTTTAAATTATTCTACCAAATTAAATAATTGTGGAAAGTGAAGTATTGGTAAAGTTTGATTATCATGTGTTGAAAAGTCATAATAAAAATTCTATGGATTATTTTTTTTTATCTTAAAAATAATTCCTTTTTAATAAATAATCTTCATAAAATTTAAAAAATATATATAAAACAGTTGTAAAAAATAAATGCAATTTGACTCTCATCAAAAAAAATTTTTAATACAAATACATAATCATTTATATTGAAAAATATTTGTGTTTATATAGTTGGTTCTTATCAATAACAAATTAAATGTTTAAAACAACTTGAAAAATAAATTACTGTTATTATTGCCATTAAAATTAAATACTTTTTATTAAAAATTGTCAATTGTAATTGCATTAGTTTATATAATTCATTTCCCACTTAGCAACTAATCTGCATAATTAAGGAAACATTAAAATAGGAAATGTTAAAGTAGCAATTGTGAGGTATAGATGAACTTTTTGAATATTTAAATTTTTTGAAATCCTATTGGAATTTAATATAGAGTTAATCTTTAGAGTTAAAGAATAAAATTTAATGTCATCAGGATTTGTGAATTACAATTATTCAGCAAGATATTCTTTACATTGAGTTTTAATTATAATAAATGCTTTAAGGTTTATGTAACATTTTTAAGAGAGGTGTTTTATAAATATTAAGTACATAATTATATGTAATTTGAGAGCAATTATTGGAAACTGCCTGAATTACATTATATTATGTTTATATTCCAAAATAACATTTTCATATGCTAAAAATAATTTCTTAATGTCAATTAGTCAATGAAAATGAATATATTTATCAATATATTTGAATAAACTGTCAAGCACTAATTTTAATTTATTTTATAAAAGCAGAGGCAAAATACATTTCAATATTTGAAGTTGAAAATTTATGTTTTAATTCATATTTTAATAATTTTTCTTAATATTATTTTCACATTTTAAAATTATTTTTATTTGCAGTATTTTAAAGGAAGTATTTAATTAGTTTTAAAATTTATTATGAAATACTAAATAATAATAATAATAATTTTTATTTATTATTATTTATTTTTTTTAGATTTTAATGTGCCAATTAAAAAGTTTAGTGGATTCTTATATAGAGATCTTTATACAAAAGGTAATTTGAAACTATGTCAGTTATTTAATATTTTTATTATAAATCTGAATCAAATAGATGTTTTTAAAATATTTTTAAATTTTTTTTTTTAGTATTATATCAGTATAGATCATTAATTGGACTTTGGCAATCAGATGTACCATCATACGGTGGATTATTGGAAGTTAAGGTAAAATAAAAGTGATTGTATTAATATTTGTTAATACAATCACTTTTATTATGTGAAATGTTATTTATACTACAATTTTTAAAAATAAATCTTAAAACATTTTTATAAAAAATATATATATTATCTATATTCAGAGAATGATTGATTGATTTTATTGTTTAAATATACAATAAAATCTGTGTAAATTGAAATTGCATGGTGCTGAATTTTTTTTCAGTTTCTCAGGTTTATTTTTAACAAATTCTTTTTAAACAGAAAGTTGCTCTATTTTAAAGAAATTTTTCCATTTAAGCAGGTTTCTGTTTAATTCATGTTCTATGTTGGACATGTTTTTACTATATGTTAACTACATTGTTGTGATGTTTAATTATTTACTACTATAGTCTATCTATGGAAAGAATCAACTTTGGTATTAACCAATGACCATTAGCCATTGCTCACGTAGTTGTGGCAAATTACTTAGTTTCTTTCTTATTTGTTAAACACATCATTGCCATTATAAACAGTATTATGGATGATTGGACTTGGCAGAAAGATGATGATATAGTTTCTTCAAATTTTTAATTTTTTACAAAATACACTAGCCATTTTAATTAAATAAATTATGATCACACTAGATTTTGCAAGATGGTTGAACATAAGTCATTTTGTGATTCACAAGGTGTAGATAAAATCACTTTCCAAACCATATGATCAGATTTCCAAAGATATGGCCATTGTTGCAGTTGTTGAGAAGATTGTTGTCTAGGCTGCTTTGTCAACAGTCTCTTCAAAAGACTACTAATTGTGGATATCTACATTGCAGAATAGGACTGCAACTCTTATTCATCCAAGATTTGACTTGCTGAAAGTGCAAAAAGGACAGTATCAATTTCTATGGAACCCAGAAGCTACATAGGTGCTGTGCACTATACAACCAGTAATATGCATGTCCTAACTGTCTTCCACAAGTGGGGGGACATTTAAATTGGACATAAATACATGTGAGCTGGAGTCCAAATCATGAAGGTCTGTACTTTTTACAGATAAATAAAGTTATATTTTATAGAAGGAGTCTCAACAAGTTTTCATCTAGAAAGAGCCAGAAATCCAAAACATAATCATCATGGAGATAGAGGGACTTCTAAGATGATGATGATAGTTTACTGTACTTGTATGGGGAGGCATTTCTTCAGGTGAATGAATCAACCTCTATGTGCTGCCATATAGAAACCTGACTGCTCATAGATAGAGATGATATCCTCTACTCCCTTTGTTCTTTTGTATGCAGCTGCAGTTGGTGACATGCATTATACTGCAACCCAATAATGCTTTCCCTCACACAGCTTATCTTCAGCAATGCCTTGAAGATTGTTGTCTGTATGGAGTTGCCAGCATCTCTTTCAATCTAAACTCTACCAAGCATCCCTAAACTCTGTACTAGCAACTCTGTACCCACCATCCTTAAACCCTGTACAAGCTACAAACTCCTTTGCAGGATAATGGGCATTGCTGCCTACAGATCTCATTGACATCATCATTACCAGCATGAAACATAGCTATTTGAGGTAGCCATATTCTTTATTGAGGTCATTTTTTTATTTAATTTTGATATATGTATTTTTCTTTTATCTGCATGGCTAATATGAAATGTAAATGCTTTATATCAAATGTTCTTGTAGTTTTAACAACAGTAAAGAAAACCACCAAGAGTTTAATCAAATGGGATATGTTTTGAATTATAACAGTTTTTTTTTCTGTTGTTTCCTAATTTATGGAAACCAGTTTATTTTGGAAGTATAATTTAAAACTATATAAATTATATTATGAAAATTTGATTTTTTTTTGTTTTCAAACAAACTTTATTTAAAATTGTAATACCTTACTAAAGAATAGAGAGACAATATTGTATCAAATAAAAGATTTGTTTTTAAGACAGATGTTTAATTTGAATTATTATGTCTTAAATCTTTAAAAATTAAGTACTAATGCAGGAACAGCATGATGTTGAGTCACCAATTTTAATCAACCGTGAGGATATAATGAATCCCCAACCTTTAATTTTGAGTCTTGCACCTTACTGTTTGGTACATTGTTGTGGGTTCATTATATCCTCACCAAGTTTGATCAAAATCAGTGGCCCAATGTCATACATCCCCTCATGAGTACTTTTAAAAAATTAATTAGTAAATATAAAAGTACTTAGATTAAACACTTTAAAAATTTTTATTTTTAGTGTTATACTAAACACCAACAATAAAAATTTTAAAGTTTAAAATTTAAAAGTACTTAAACTAAAGTACTTTAAAATTTTTATTATTAGAAAATTATTTTAAAAAATTATTTACTTTTATATGGTTTTAATTTATTCTAGTTTGAAAATGGCAAATTGATAGGAACCCAGTTATATCCCCCTCAAGATCCTTATATTAATAGGCCATTACGAAGAAAACCGCTGTTTAGTATAGGAATTGATTCAAATGATGAAAAAATTGTACTATGCACTGTTTGTGAAAATAGCCATAAAGCAGAAGTAGAAATGGTCAGTAAATTAAAATTTTTTTGTGGAATATTAAGTTTAATCATAATTTAGATTAATAAAATAAAATTTTATTTTTATAATTACAGAAAGAAAATAATGAATTTCATTTCAAGTGCTTAGATATTGACACTCATAAAAGTCCAAATAGCCGGCATCAGGTATAATATTAAAAAAATTTATATTATTATTTTATCAAATAGAATTTCACTTGAACTAACATAACAAAGACAGAGATCAAAACATAAACATATTTTGATCAGGATTATTTAACGTATTTTGAAATATTTTAACATATTAGGAAACATTAACATATTTTGATTTCTTAATTTAATTAAAAGGTTTACATACTGCATATATAATAAAAAGATGATTATGTATATAATTTTTGTAAAGTCTACAAATTTTTTATGAAGAGTTTCATAGAACTTAGAAGTGCCTTAATTAAATTAATTGTCCTACAGTTAGTCTAGTTAATCAGCAGTATTATTTGTATCAAATCATAATCATTGTTAAGTCTAATTACATTGTACTACAACAATTATGTGATGTGATTATATGTTAACATGCTAAATATATAATAGTTTGGGAAATTCATTATCAATTTATTTTTTTGGAGGTTACAGTTAACCTCTGCAGAGTCCAACTCTGAATAAAAATGTTAATATTTAATAGCATAATTGGAAATTTTAATTGTAAATGATTTCTTTTAAACTCTTCTTTTTTCCTGATTAAATAAAAGTGTGCATTCTAATTTTACTTTGTTAACCAAAATAAAGTTAAAGACAAATGGATCATTGCCAAAAGTGTAGTATTGGTTAAATACATTGAACACTTATTTATCTAAATATTCTGTACTGAAATGAAGGTGCATCTTACTGTATATGCTATAAAATATGGTAGATTGTGTTTTATAAGTAATAGAAAGCACGTATAAATGAAATTATAATCCTTTTATCCCATCTCTCATTGCTGATTTTTAATATATAAAACTTTACTTTTATTGTGTGGTTAATAATTTTTAAAATTTTATTTTAGGCTCTTATTGATTGGCTGGTAGAAGAAACTGCTGATGCACTTGATCTTCCACAGTTTCCACGAAGCCAAGAATTATTGTTAATGAAATACTTAATTTTGGAACAATATAAGTATGTGAGACATTTGTTATCAAATTGCATGCTATACAATAGATTAAATTCTTGCTTTGTTTGACATATGCAAGTGGTAATCAATTCTGTTTTTGAATTGTGATATAGAATCTGCTTATTGTAATCATGTGTATTGTTATCAGTCATTTAATATCAAAATTAGCATATCAGAATACATGCAAGTTAAGATACATTCATAAAACTTTGCATACCATATTCTAATCAGTTTTTTTGGTTATTATTGTTATCTTTAGATACTTTTTCCCTTGACACTACTTACTATGACATGTAGTTATTATCAGTCTTAATCAGTGCTTTAAACATTGTTTTCATCACTGCTTGTAGTACTACTGTTTAAATTTCTGACATTTCTTACTTCAGTTATATGCCAGTTATTGTTAAAGATTGCATTGCAAAAGAAAAAAAAACAAACTATATTAGATAAATTTACATATTATTAATTAATGATATGATTAAATTTTTATAACTTGAAGCTTAAAATAATTTTAATTATGTGAAGTATTGTGTTTCAGTGTCATTCAGTCAACCAGAATTTCCATTAATTGTAATCTTATTGATAACAATAACTCAGGTAAATAAATAAGAGTTAATCCAAAGTGATTACATTTAGAAAATTCTGCTATATTACAGAACAATTTAAAAATTTTAATTGTAGGATTTTTAACAAAACATTATTTTTTAAGAGCATTATTATTTATCTTACATTTTTAAATTGTAAGTGTGAAAGTAATAACAAATTTAACATAAAATGATGTTTTACAAGATTAAACTTTTGTCATTTAATAGAAATGAAATATTTGTATTTAGCTACTTGATATTCTAAAAATTCAACTTATTTAAATTAATATTTAAGTGAAAATAAATCAAATTATAAAAGAAAGGTCAGTTAAATAAGAAGAGTGTATCAAACATGACATAATTAACTCATAATTTAAATTCCATAAAAGATATATTTTTTAGCTTTTTATATAAACATCTTTGTGAAAACCAGTGTTTTTAGAGGAATTGTATTGTATATAATAATGTTTTGGTAACTTTAAAACCAAAATAAGTATAATTGAAATTCCATATAACAAAATGTCTCTGAGAAATATAGAGAATTCATTATTATATAGAAATATAATAATGAATTTGCTACTTTCACGAAATGAAAAAAAATGTACTAGTAGTGAAAACGAAATATTGTATTGTAATGATGTTTTATTCTTTCTGAAAATGTCCTTTTCATTATTATGTATGCATTCTAAATGAAAAAATCAAAGAAAAGATATAATACGTTTCTTCTATTGAAATTGAATAGGTAAAAATGTTACATAAAAAAATTTATTATTTCAGTTTTATTTATATTGAAAAAACATTTAATCTTTACCTGTATGTTGGAAAGTAAAAGAATCATACTTTTTATCAAATTATAACTTTATTTAAATCAATTTTTACCAAGAATGCTTTCTTAGTTTTAAACTTACTAAAAAGGTTTTATTCAAAGCTGTCCTTGGATACAGATATTTCAATTTCATTGAGTTATAGTACATTAAGGTATTGTACTATACTAATTACTGTTCAGCTGGGGATAGTTGTGGAAATGAGTTAACTTTTAACCAATTTTAACATTTATAAATCTAAAAGATAAAATGAATTTTTATTTATTTGATTTTCAAAAGTTTGTGATAAGCAGTACATGGACAGAGTGAGGCTCGACATCAGCCCAACCTAAAATCTTGCTTACCTATCTATATATCCTGAAAGATTTTATTCAAATCTACCTATACTAACCATTGGTGGGTGTTTCTTTTAAATATGAATTGTGTAATTACTTAGCCAACAAATCATCTTCACTAAAATTTTTTGTCTGCTTATGTTTGAAAATTGATCACTATATTTTAAAAATTTGTTTGATTATAAAATGTACAGATAACATTCATTCCACTAAAATAATGTTCCACCCAATCTCCAACCTTCCAGAATGAAAATCTTAGCACCATTACTGGTGATATGGAAATTACTGTATTTTGACGAGTATAAGTCGCTGTCAAGTATAAGACGCACCCCTATTTTGAAACAAAAAATTTAGAAAGAAACTTTTTTAATGGAATTGTCTAAAGATACATTTTATTCGTTTTTTTATTCAAGAATATGACAGATGGATGAATCGATACCTTTATTAAACTGAAATAATCGTCATTTCTTAATATAAACTCAGATGTCGTGTGATGACAGTCGACAGAACATGGCGGCAATGACTCGTGTATCGCTACTGTGATGTTCTAGGTACTCTAGCCATTCGGTTGAGGGACCATCTGCTTAATGGACCACTGCACAGGTTGGTTCCTAGAGTGGACCACTACTGTAGATAATTTCACTGTAAAAATGGTTACCTGTTGAGTATAAGACACACCATGATTTTGAGCCCCGAAAAGTAGTGAAAAAAATGTGACATACTCGTCAAAATACGGTAAATAAAAACCTTTTTTTTTCTTTAAACAGTTTGTTATGCAGAAAAATTTACTGAAGGGAAATGTATATTATAGAATTTCTGTATTATGGAAGTTTAATTGTATTTGTTGCATAATTTATAGTGTTTCATTTTAACAGTATTAAGAAACATATGTTAATCTCCAGTTGAAACAGTTAAAGGATTAAATGTAACTTTTACAGACTATTTAAGAAAAATTTAATAATGATCAAAAATCATTTAATAGTTAAAAGATAATACTAAATGAATAAAAAATGTTAAATAAAATGATTAAAGCTATTGGCAATTTCATCCAAATCAACTTCCTCTAGTGGCAAAAATTTCAACAGAAAGAAAAGTAACTTGTGTTTTAAGTATTTTAGAATGGCCCAAAAAGGAATGCAGAGATTATTATTGTATGCCACATTATATATCAAGTACAAGTAAATGAATGATAAAACTACTCTGGCATCATTTTCTTGATAATTTTCTGTCAATGAAAACAATGAACATAAATTATGCATTGTATTAACAGAAGATAACTTTTCTAATGGTTTACATTTAAAATGAAATGTATAGATTTTAATATTGCATTATGTGATGATCATTTTAAATCAAATGAATTTCAAAGATGACCTATGCACTTTCAATATTGGTGCAGCTGAATTTATTCCAAAAATTCAAACTCAAGATGATATAGACAATTTCGTATAACATGTTAATTAAGTATCTATGAAATTTTGTGTAGTGCCAAATCATGTTATATGGGACTAAATATCAGTAACAGAAAAAGGATTATGTTGTAAAAGGTAACAAAAATCTGTCAAATTTGCAAAAATAGATCTTGCAGCAATAATAGTTTTAATTTACTCTCTTTTATGATCAAGACTGTTGCTTAATTTAAATTTAAATGTCACTTTAAAGTGATTTGCTTTAGATTATTTCACTAATGTGGCATTTTTTAACTATATTCATGGTTAGTTTTGGCACTTGCATTGCTCTTAAGGAGCTTTTCGAGACTTTTTTTTATTAATATTTGTTTTTGCATTGTTTCTTAGGTCTAGCATTATTGCACATTTTATAAGTGATAGTATAAATATATTCCAGGCAAGTGAAAAAAAGTGCACTTTACTGTTTTTACAACAATATTGTCTTAATCTGTAACCTATTTCTAACATAGTAGCATGGTATACCTATATTACAAATTAATGAAAGGAACTATTCCAATCATTTTGTCTATTTGATTTTTTTTTTAATTTCAATTTTGAATTAAAATCTTATCAAGTATTGTTTTTCCATTTATCATATGAGCATATTCCACAGTAGTATTTGGTAACTATTATTTATACAATAAATAATAGGAACTAATGTTTTTCATAGCTTACAAATTATCTTTTTTAGAGTATATATTATTAAAAATAAACATTTCTCTAAGTTTGGAATTCTACATGAGAATTCCATACATATTTGAAAACTAGAATTACAAATTATCATTTCATGAAAGATAATGAAAAGATTCTTATAAATCTTTCCATGAAATATTGACATTGTGAATTAAATTTTCAAAACTTAGAAATCCAAATTTTAAAATTTCTGTAACAAAATAAAGAATAGCTTTAAATTAATAGACTGAATGCTTTTAATTTACATTATTTCTCAAAATATTTTAAATGATTTATTCAGTCTTAAGTAATTGTAGCTTTGTGTTAATTTAATTATTTTTCAGTAAAACAATTTATACATGTTTTTAATAAATTGTAAAACTGAGAAAGAAACTTAAATACAAAACTCAACAAATTACTACAAATGAATTTTAGAAAAAACTTTATTCAAATTATGTTTTTAAAAATTTCATAACTGATCTTCTGTTTAATTTTTAGATATAATTGTAAATTTCATCGTATTAATTGTCCTACAACTCAAAGAAATGTTCCTATTCAACCTGGTCTCTTTAAAGGAACATATGGAGCTCATGGTTTAGAAATAATAATATTACAGTATGAAGACTGTGGTACAAAAGCAACAGCTTTCAAAGTTTCTGTAAGTTTGAAGATTTGCATTCAATATTCTTATGTGCCTGCTATATAATTTTCAAAATTGAAATTTTTTATTTTAGGGAGATCCTAATGTTCCTGCAGGTCAAGTCACATTCCAAGTGGATCTTTCTTATCCAATGGTTTTGGCACCTGAACAACAACAACAAATGGCTCTGTTAGATGAATTAAAAGTTTTTCGAATGAGTCCTTCTCTTTCACTCAATCTTCCTGCTCAGCCTTTTCATCTCCCAGTGGATTGCTATGAACGCTATAGACAGATTCCCCGAATGTGTACTTCAAGGTAAGTAACATTTTATCTTACCATAACTATAACCGTATTAATATATAAAAAAAATTTATCACTTCTATTAAGATTAAAATATAATTATGCAGAATATAATATAATGTTATTTTACTTTAGATTATTGGAACATTAATAATATAAACCAGAAAACTATATAAAACTTAATTTATATAAAATCTCAAACATCAATACCAACTCTATTAAGGCAGTTTATTTACTATTGGTATATGTGAAATATTAGAAATTAAATAATTTTGACTAGAGGTAGGCATTTATGCTGTCGTCTTGTATTAAATTTAATGACCAATTCCAAATTAAATATTAATTTTTTTTTTCTCTGTGCAAATCAAATTCACATTCCAGGTTGGTTCATTCTGCACTTGAAGANATGTGAATTTGATTTGCACAGAGAAAAAAAAAACTAAAATTTAATTTGGAATTGGTCATTAAATTTAATACAAGATGGCAGCATAACCTTTATTATATATAGCTTTTACATAGCCCAAGAATTTGGCATATCGTTTGGTGTGTTTATCAGACATATTATCTGTAATTTTTATTTTCTGCAAATCAAATTTGCATTCCAGGTTGGTTCATTCTGCACTAGAAGAAAAGATTAAGATGATTCACGCTCCTTAACAATGTATATTGTATAATTTTCTTTGAATAAACATTATACATAAAATATTTGAGTTTTTTTTTTTTTTTTTTTTTTGCTTGAAACGCATTATCATATTTTACATTAATATATATGGGAAAAATTGTTTCGCATTATGAGTAAGATTCTGGAATGAATTTTTATGCTCGTTAAGTGAAGTTCCACTGCATATCCATATATTTCTTTCAACGTTTTCAGAACAGACTTTTAAACTGCTATTTTTTAAATTCTTCCTGTAACATCAATAAAATCAGTCCTAGTTTGTGAGAATTTCCAAAGTTGACAAAAGTATGTAATTAAGGACAAGAAGCATGTATATTTATCAATCATTTTGGTCAAATACCTGTTGTCATTGTTTCTGGTAGTAGCATGATTTCACATTCATAAAAACTTGATCGTTGCTTACAAAATACTGATCCAAGTGATTTTTGACATTGTCATTTCATTTCATTGTCATGTCATTTCATTGACACAAGTAAATGTCTTACAGTTAAAAAAAATTTGTATAGACTGGAACAAGTAATAATCTGAGTGTGCTCGATCTGGCGAATATGGTTGGTGTGATAGCACATCCCATCTAAGTTATAAACTTGAGTTACCAAACTTGTGTGAAATTTGACATTATCATGGTAAAACACTACACCTGTTTTGTTGATCAATTCTGGCTGCCTTTTCTGTTTGATGATATTACTCAATTTGTGTACTTGATGGCAGTACCCTTTCAAATCAATTGTTAAATTGTCTGGTAAAAGCTCCAAAAAAAATTTCCTTAAAATCCCACCAAAGAGAGCATTTCTCTTTAAGAACATGTGGAACCCATATATCGAGCTTTGAAACGAAACCAATTTCTTTTAAGTAATCATAAACGGTTCAATTTGACAAATTTAATCTCTTAGTGATTTCACGTGTTGTTATTCGGCAGTTTGCTTCAATCAGTACCTTTATTTTCTTTTCATTGGCTTCAACTGGCCATCCAGAATGTGGTGCATCTTCAATATTGAAATTGCCAGAACGNGTGTTGTTATTCGGCAGTTTGCTTCAATCAGTACCTTTATTTTCTTTTCATTGGCTTCAACTGGCCATCCAGAATGTGGTGCATCTTCAATATTGAAATTGCCAGAATGAAATTTTGTAAACCAGTTTTGGCAATGTTGTCCTCTCAACACATCATCTCCATACATGTACCACAATTTTTTTCTTGCTTGAACAGCATTTTGATTTTTTGGTAATAATAAAGCAATATATGCCGAAAATGATGCTTTCAATCTTCCATATTTGATGGGACACAAAAAATAAACAATTACACAAAATCAAACAAAATTTTTTACAAAATAAGCCTTAAAATGCCAGCTGTCAAAATATATAATGATAGTAAGGTTTAGAATGAAAATGGTGGGGAAAATAAGACTAATCTGTCTAGTGGTAAAAAAAAAATGAACTTACTTCAATTTAAATTATTAGTTTGTTTTGGAAATAAGTTTTTTCATTTTTGGACAACTGATCAAAATATTTAAAACAGACTTTCTAATTTACCCGAAATTTAATAATGAAAGTAAAAATCTATTGTCACTGAAACATGGAATTCTTATACAAAGCATAAAAAACCATTTTACATGTCATTATTGATATATATGATTGTCATTGTATTTATAAGAGTAAATTATATTCGTATACTTCAGATTATTTTCTACTTTCAAATAGATGAACTTAATTTATTATATAATTTAAAATATATTAGCATTAGCATGCTTAAAAATACTGTTGTTTTATTTTATATTTGAATATTTATTATGTATTTAATATTTATAAAGTTGTACTTGTTATGCCATAGACTGACAGGCCTATAGTTAATTTAGACTGTAAAATATCTTCTTGAAAGTTATCTTACAGTTTAAAAGCACTTTTATTTTTATGGTGAGTTTATTTTAACAGTATTTTTATAAGTATATATTTGTATCTCCAAATGAAATATATATGATAGATAATGTATTTATCATTAAACAAGAATAATAATTAAATAAGAGAGGCCTAAATTTTTGAAATATTACAAAAAAAAAGATTACAATTTATTTAAAAATTTTCATTTTTGCTTTGAAATTTTCCTCATTTAAAAAAATCTATTCACTTAGTGCTTTTCAATTGTTTATTTTGTTTTCATTGGCTTCAACTGGCCATCCAGAATGTGGTGCATCTTCAATATTGAAATTGCCAGAATGAAATTTTGTAAACCAGTTTTGGCACTGTTGTCCTCTCAACACATCATCTCCATACATGTACCACAATTTTTTTCTTGCTTGAACAGCATTTTGATTTTTTGGTAATAATAAAGCAATATATGCCGAAAATGATGCTTTCAATCTTCCATATTTGATGGGACACAAAAAATAAACAATTACACAAAATCAAACAAAATTTTTTACAAAAAAGCCTTAAAATGCTAGCTATCAAAATATATAAT